AAACAAAACAAAACACAGATTCAGTATTCCTCAAAATGAATAAAAATAATGCAACTCAGAATATGACGCAAACCTGCAATAATTAAATGTTAAACAACACAAATATCCTTTGTATTTAATCCCATTCTATTAACCAATGTCTTTAATTCTGACCTTCAATGATCCAATTCAACCGTACTAATAAGCAAAAATTACTCTAGACGAACATTTGTGTCCTTTTTTATTGCTGAAGTGTTGAAATTTCTGCTTCTGCATTCTACTGTACGGATGTAAATATACTGTATTGGCCCGAATATAAGACGACCCTGATTATAAGATAACCCCCCCCCCCTTTTTCCAGATGTACCTTTTGGAAAAAGGCTTTTTAAAAACCAACTCTAGTTTTTTCTCAGTAAAACACATTTTGTCTTCAATTATTTTCATATTGCATATTTTTCCTATTTTAATTTTTGTTTTGAAAGTATGGTAAAAACTGGTAAAATGTACCAACAATCACATTTTAAAAATATACACTTTGATATACCATAAAAAAATAAAAAAAAACAGGTAGCCCATCTGAATTAGGACATTTAGGCTATCCATCTAATAGTAGCCCACCAAAATCTTATTAACAGTAGAAGTTAAATCTTATTGTAGTCTTCAAATCTAGGTACTGTCTTACATTTTAAAATCACAAAGGGAGTTTGGTCCCATCAGGCTAACGTGACAGTCACGACTCATGCAGCTGTAAGGTTTTCTTTTTCTTTTGTTTTTACTCGCGATCTTTACAACACGCATTACATTACGTATTTCATGGCACACTCGTTTTATGCGTATTTGGCGCCACCTATTGTTGTGGGTGTATTATTGACATGTCAAAGTCTAGACCCTGAATATAAGACGACTGCGTTTTTTCAGATGTATTTCCAAGAAAAAAACATTCTTATATTCGGGTCAATACGGTACTTTCCATTCAGCCTGAGGCTTATTCATTTCACTTTTGGTGTGAAAAGGCTTTTATGTTTGCCAAAAATATAACTTTTTTTTATTTTAAAAACAAGCAAGCCCTGTCCAGATTTAAAAAGTAACGCAAAAGTAACGTAACGCATTACTTTCCATAAAAAGTAACTAAGTAACGTAATTAGTTAAATTTTTATGGAGTAACGCAATATTGTAATGCATTACTTTTAAAAGTAACTTTCTCCAACACTGATCGTATATTATATTTTAAAAAGGTCTTAAAGTCTTCACCCTTCTACAAGTTCATTAATCAGTAGAAAGCTGCATGCATTTCCTCAGTGTTTTTGTCTTGTTTTTTGGTGCAAATATCTGTACATTTTTAAGAGCAGTCAAGAACGAGTTACAAAATTAAGCAAAATTGAACAGAGTTTATGCTTAAAACAAGAACGAACATCTATTAATGGGGTATGAACCTTTTCCCTCTGATTTAACCCTTATTTTTTTCCTCCGCCCCTTGGCAGATATGTTGTTTTTTTTCAAGCGTAAACTCATTCTTGATTAGTTTTATCAGAAAACAAGACTTAAAGTCTTATGGCATTTTACTTTTCAAGTAAATGCATTTTGATATGAGAATCTTTATACATTTGCTCTGGAAAACAAGACGTCAATACTAAGGAAGAACATTACAGTGTGATCAGACGCTAAAGTAAAAGGTATTTCCATGTTCTAGTGGTTGAGAACAAAGTCTTTTAAGTGTACCTTCATAAAACCTGCAGAAACCCTCTGTTTGTCTATTCCATACATTGAAAACATGTTTTGAAATAGTTTGCGGCCTTATTTCTTTTGTGTTTCAGTCAAAAATTGTTCTGGAATTAGTTGAAGATGTTGAAGAATTAAATGGAAAGCATCATTCTAATGATTATTTCCTCTCTTTTCAGCCGCGTTGTCCGCAAGTCCATCGCCAGAGTCCTCACAGTTATCAACCAGACACAGAAGGAGAATCTGAGGAAGTTTTACAAGGTCAGTTTAATGCCACTGATCGCTTAAATGCACACATGCTCTTTTGCTACAGGTAACACCTTGAAGTCGTTTTGTAGATGAGGTCTAATTTAAAGATGACATGAAAGCCTGTTCAAATGATCTTGACAGCAAAATTGTCTTTCAGACAGATACATTTAGAAGAGTTTGATCAAGTTGATGCTTGATAAACAGCAGTGTTTGTGATTTTAATGGGAAGCTGTAATGTCCATTAGTTTCATGTTACTGTCATTATAGTATTCAGATGACCTGATTTGTTATGAGACACAAACTACAGAGCGTCCGTTTAGACTCCAGCAAGACTATCACCCAGCACTCCTCCTGCTGAAGTGGAGCTAGTGTGAATATTCTCTTGCTAAAGAAATATGACCGTTCACGGCGGAGTCTTTAAATGATTCTCATCTGCTGTGAGCAGCCGACAGCACCTTTATATCCTATCATTTAATGAACTTCAGCTGTAGTCCAATTCAAAAAGACAGTTTACTAGAGAACCCAGTTACTGTCTTTGAAATTTAACACCTAGTCTTTTATTTATATATATATATATTAGGGCTGCACGATTAATCGCATGCGATATTTAACGCGCATCTTAGTGTGTATATATGTATGTGTGTATATATAATTTTTTTTTTGAATGTACATTTATAACACTATACTTTCCATTATATTACCTTGCCATTTACTTATTTTTACTGTTTGGCACTTGGATCCCATTTCTAAATCGACCCTTTTCATATTTCTGTGTTTCTCAGAAGCACTCATCTGAATAGAAACTACAACTAATTTTTGTGTTCCCATTTGTTCCAATAGAAAAAGAAAAAATCCACAATAGCATTTCTATGATGTTCCAAAAGAGGAAAACAATTGAGAGATTGATTACACTTTTTACATTTCTTGGGGTTTTTTAATGATTATTTTACTTTCTTTTATGTAAAGCACTTTGAATTACCATTGTGTACGAAATGTGCTATATAAATAAACTTGCCTTGCCTTACACTAATCAGAAGAGAGAAAGATGTTAAATTTGCCGTCACTTCCTCAGCCATATTAGAAACACTCAGTGCAGCATTAACTAGATTTCTGAATTGAAATGCCAAGTTTAATATAATGCAAAGTAGTGTTACAAATGTACATTACATTTTTAAATAAAAATATAAACTATAAATATAAAACCGATTTAAACATATAACAATTAAAAAAATAGAAATATGCACTATAAGTGTAATTAGTTTTATAGATTTAGATTTGTTAACTGTGGAAACAGTCATCAGTCTGTGAAAAGGGTCCATGTACTTTTTATTATGGAGGGTTTTACAGCTGTGTTTATTTAAGGAATGATCAGTCTCCGCACTTCCTGTTCTCCAGCTGCTGCTTGTAATGTCCATCTAGTAGATTCTAACATTCCTGCTCTCTTCATGTTCAGGGTAAGAAGTACAAGCCTTTGGACCTGAGGCCCAAGAAGACTCGTGCCATCCGTCGTCAGCTGACAAAACACGAGCAGAACCTGATGACCAAGAAGATGCAGAGGAAGTCCCGCCTCTACTCCATCCGCAAATTCGCTGTCAAGGCTTGAGAGGCTGTACTGTTGTTTATCACTGAAAAAATAAACATCCCACCCAGGAATTCAGACGCCCGAGTCTGTGTATGTCTCTGAAGCAGGAATAGGGTTTCTTGGGAAATATGATGGAAGTGATGATTGCGTCTGGAACTAGCCTTATCTGTTTGTGTTTTTGACATTAGTTATAACTGGGATGCTTTTTTCCACTGGAAGTCTGCTTTACAGCTTTGAATGTTAGATTTGAGTTATTTAAAGGAGACATATTATGCCCCTTTTTACAATATGTAATCTATGTCTCTGGTGTCCCCAGAATGTGTCTGTGAAGTTTCAGCTCAAAATACCCCACAGATCATTTATAATATTATTTTGAAAATGCCTATTTTGAGTGGAAGCAGAAACGCGCCGTTTTTCGGGCCTGTCTCTTTACATGCAAATTAGCTGCTGCTCCCCGCCCCTTTTCCAGAATAGAGCTGTGCCATTGCACCTTGTACCTGCTAAAAAAAACATCTGTTTTGGTTCTGATTATCATGTTTATCGCGCTGAAATCATGCGTTTTACACCATATGAGTTTAAACTTCTGATATAGGGTTTTCTGAGAGCACACATCCGAAGCACACGCACAGAAAGCGGCTGTCACAGCATGCGAGTACTAACAGTTAGCATGTTTTGCTCAAACTTTCACCATGGCATTAGAACTACTACACCGTTATCGATTGCGAAATCAAATGACGGCACCGTGGGTGGAAATTTACAGATTAAGGGGTGGTAATATTATGAGATCCCTTTGTGACGTCACTAGGGGAGCGAAATCAGACGCGCTCGTTTTTTCAGATGCTTGCTGAAAAAGGCTTCCCAAAACAAAGTTACTGAGATGATCTTTTTCATGTTTCCTTGGCTGGTAGATGCACCGGGGACCTGATTATAGCACTTCAAACCTGGAAAAGTACGATTTTCATGATATGTCACCTTTAAGCTGGAGTGAAACTAAAACATTTAAGAACCAATTAAAAAAATCTAAACCTAAATTTGAGTTAACCTTTTTAATTCGAATAACATTTGAATTAGAATTGATACATTTGATTTAATAAGATGTATGTGCAGATAATCTTACAAATCTTTCAAATACTTTTTGCAAGTTTTTATTTCAAGTTTGGCAATCCTAATTATGTGTTGAATTTATTTTGATTGTGGGAAAAAATAGGTTTGTAATATGCTTTTTGCATGACACAAAGCATGGGATAATTTTAGATACTCTATTAAAAATATTACATTTTATTCAAATCAAATCTGGCTTTTATTTTTTTTAAAGGTTCATACGTTGTGTTTTAAATAGAAATATAAAATATTTTCCAGATATTACATTATTTTAAATATAAATTACCTCTCACCTTAGAACAGTAACATGACAAAATCTTATAAAAAAATTAAAAAGTAACATATAATGGTATAATATAAAGTACAATATAAAACATTACAATTTAATTTTATAAACCTGTTTTCACACAGCCTTTATGGGTCTTAATACATGAAAATATATAAAATATAATATTTCCCTTTGTATTATAGTATCATTAAAATCACCTTCACTTCGTTATTTTAGCAGTACCAAACTAGTCCGTTTTGCTGCTTGATGTTGCAAACTGCTATTATCATTTTGTAATGTATTACCATAACCATAAACACTAGTTTGCAGTGAAAATATACTGAACAAAATTATAAACGCAACACTTTTGTTTTTGCCCCCATTTTTCAAGACTTTTTCTATGTACACAAAAGGCCTATTTCTCTCAAATATTACTCACAAATCTGTCTAAATCTGTGTTAGTGAGCACTTCTTCTTTGCCGAGATAATCCATCCACCTCACAGGTGTGGCAAAAGTGTTGCGTTTATAATTTTGTTCAGTGTAGTAAATAATTGATCAGAAATCTCACACATTCACAAATAGCTTACTTTTGCATTGAAAAACAAGGTGAATACCTTCTAAATAGTACAAAAAAAAATGCATACAAACTGCCAACAATCACAAAATAATTGAAACCTTATGAACCCAAACTGAAAGTTATTGTGGTGGTTTTCATGGATGCTCGTCTCATAAATACGTTCATTCAGACATGCAGAAGGCCGCATAACATTCACTGCGGCCGTGTGTGTCAGTGAGTTTATAATCGCTGATTATCTGAGTAAAACTGGATGCAGTTCCACAGCTGCTTTCATTCACCGTGGGTCACAATGTACTGGCCGTCCTCATGGTCCATCATCTTTACTGTCCTGTTCTGTGTTTAAACCCTCACTTCTCTCCTCTGTGCTGTTTTCCTCATCCTCTTCTACATCCAGCTGCTCAGAACCGCTGGTGAGAAGCTTCCCATCAGGAGTGAACACACAGCCATATGCGGAGTCCTTATGGCCCTAAAACACACACACACACACACCATGAAGCTTGTGTAATGCTACATATGTTACTAGTCAAAGGTTCTCAGTCACCTGCAGCCTCTTCAGACAGACTCCAGTGGTCACATCCCAGATCCTCACCTGACGAACAAACATATCAATATCAAGCATTGCCACACAGACTGTGTGAATAAGTGTGTGTGTGTGTTTGTTTTACCATGTCGCCTTCAGCGGTGGATGCTAAAACCAGTCCGTCTCTGGAGAAAGCCAGACTCCTGACCCAAACACGCTCACAACCTCCCAACACAAACAGACAGGTGTGACGCATCGGCAACCAAACACGCACTGTGCCGTCCCATGAGCCTGAGGCCTGAAACACACACATTCATAAATATACTAGCGTTCAAAAGTTAGGAACAAATTCAATTTTTAATTTAAATGTTTTTTAAATGATTTTTAAGTCTCTTTTGCTCACCAAGACTGCATTTATTTGATCAAAAATACAGTAAAAACAGTAAAATGTTGGAATATTATTACGGTTAAAAATAACGTCTATTTGAATAATGGTTATTTTAAATTGTAATAATATTTTATCACGATCACATAAATGCAGCCTCTGTGAGCAGAAGAGATTATTTCAAGAAAAACATCTTTTTTTTTTTATCCTGGTTCCTGAATCAAATATCGAAGCTCACTCTCGATAAGAAATCTGCTTTGTGAGCTCACCAGCATCCCACTAACAGAGAAACAGAGACAGGCCACGTTTCCCAGGTGCCCCTGTAATGTCACAGCCTCTTTTTCCTCAAGAAGTTTCCAGACTCTCACGGTCCGATCCCAGGAGCCCGTGGCCTGAACCCACAGAAAGAGGAGGTGAAGCAGCTCATGCTGAACGGATCAAAACAAACACACAGTGAGAAGATGGCTCATACCACACACTGTGAGTCTGATGAGAAGGCACTGCTCTGAACAGCTGCAGTGTGACCCCGCAGATCCTCCACCATCTCACCGCTCTGTGACATCAAACAACACCACAGAAACATCACTGCACAGATAGCATGGTGCTACATTCTTCAGCTGGTGAGCTAAAACACCTGCTACTACATAAACAGAGTCCAAGATTTATGTCTTTAGTTCATTCTTAAGGTTACTGATATGAAATAAACTTAACTGTAAGTATTCAATTTCATCAAAATGCTTGTCTCAAAACTATTTTTGTGTTATGGATATGAATGATACCTTGATTTTAAACCTCCATGGGGTTACAAGAGGATGCTAAGGGATTCCCCCCAAAGTATTTTTAGAGCTGTCAAAATGTGCTAGATATGAATTAAATATGCTCAAAATAACATTTTCTTTCTAGTCAGAAATCATAAGATTAATCCGTTATTATATTCTGTTATAATCTATTGACAGTCCTAATTTTATTTTAATAACAAATCTGTTTTTATTTTTAAAGCTGTATGTGTTGCTTGTATATTTTTTATTATAATTTTATATTTTCAATAGCAAATAATATTATTCATATTATTTATAAATAAATACATTTATATAATCATTTTCCAGATAATATTTAAATTTGTTTTGGCTTCAAAAGAGCAACAAAATAGATATTTTAAAAATATATTCAAAATATATTTTAAAAATAATAAATAAGAACATTATACACATATACACATATACACACACACACACACACACA